CAGCCGTCATTGTTGTTTGGCAGGCCTGGGCTGGATTCGAACCCACCACCTTAGGTGTATGTGGCTGGTGCCTTAGCCACTTGAGAGACAGGCACCGAGCCATTGGCTTCCTATTCTTAGCCACAATGTGAGGGCTAGGTATTATGTTCCATCTACTCTTCTAAAGGACATGGTGGGGGTAGGGAAGGCGTTTTGTTTTGTTCTGAGATGGAGTCTCATTTGGTCACCCAGACTGGAGTACATTAGTGAGATCACAGCTCACTACCACCTCCAACTCCTGGGCTTATGCAATCCTCTTGGTTCAGTCTCCAGAGTAGCTAGGACTGTGGGCACATGCCATCATGCCCAGCTAATCTGAGAAAGTTAGAGGCAGTTACCCTTAGCCTTCCTTCACTTTCCTGCCCATCATTTCTTCCTTCCGTAATTCAGAGATGATGGTCCTGACTCACAGCTTGACAGGGTAATGCTACAAACTAAACCCTAGGTCCCGCCTTTCCTCCATGGTATAATATCTGTGAGACAAATCCACAAGCACCAGTTGAGTGCTTAAGCTGTGCATGCTATTTTGCTTGGCTCCATGGAGAGAAGAAATGTGTAAGGCAAAATCACTGCTTTTGAGAGCCCACAAGATGTCATCATAAGGAAGCAGAGCAGGCAGGCTAGGGATATCTCTGTGTAGCCTGCATGGAGTGGCTCAGGGATGGAGAGGAAATGCCCATGGCTGAGCTGAACTGTAATGGTAGTAAACTGACTAAAAGCATTAGCTCTAGAACTAGACCTTGTTCAAACACCTGCTTCATTCCTTGCTAATTTGTTGTTTGGGACAAGTAATTTACCTTCTTGACTTTCAACTTTCTCATTTTTAAGATACAGATATCCCTAGGATCTTCCTCTTTGAGCTGTTGGGAATATTAAATGAGATAGTATGTGTAAAGGACTTAGGTTGCTGCCTGACATAAGTGTTTCATAAATAGTAGTTAGTAAAAATGTAAAGGTCAGTATTGAGTACCAAAAGCTTTTAAAATGCATGTCCACTTTGACCCAGAAATTCCACTTCTTTTTTTTTGTTTGTTTGTTTTTGTTTTTTGAAACAGAGCCTCAAGCTGTCCCCCTGGGTAGAGTGCTATGGCATCATAGCTCACAGCAACCTCCAACTCCTGGGCTCAAGTGAGTCTCCTGCCTCTGCCTCCCAAGTAGCTGGGACCACAGGCACCCGCCACAACGCCCAGCTACTTTTTTTCGGTTGCAGCCATCATTGTTGTTTGGCGGGCCCGGTCTGGATTCAAACCCACCACCACAGGTGTATGTGGCTGGCGCCGTAGCCACTTGAGCCACAGGTGCCGAGCCAGAAATTCCACTTCTTAGGGGCTACCTTAAGTAAAAATCAGAAATGCTCATAGTGATTTATTATGTTCAAAACATTACTTACTATATTAAGAAACCATCCACAATTTTTAGTAATGGTTATGCTTGACCAGCCTGCAGAGTTCCTAAAAACATAATATAGACTTCTGTGAGCCCTTATGAGTCAGCTCCAGCCACCAAGGTTATGTCAGGTGGGAATAAGTGCTTGAGAAAAGCAAACAGGGGGCTGGGTGCAGAGGCTCATGCCTATAATGCTAGCTATCTGGGAGGCCGAGGCAGGTGGACTGCCTGAGGTCATGAGTTTGAGACCAGGGTGAGCAAGAGTGAGACCTGGTCTCTAAAAATAGCCAGACATTGTGGCAGGTGCCTGCAGTGCCAGCTGCTTAGGAGGCTGAGGCAAGAGACTGGCTTAAGCCCAAGAGTTTGAGGTTGCTGTGAGCTGTGATGCCCTAGCACTTTACCAAGGGTGACATAGTGAGACTCTGTCTCCAAAAATAAATAAATAAATACTTTTTTAAATTATAAAAATATTTCCAACATCAGCAGCATGACACAGACTCAGTGCGGCAGGGAGCAGTGCTTGATGAGGTGTGCCTGGCTAAACAGGCGTTGCGAGTGGGTATGAGAAGCGCTGGCCTTTGAAAGCAGGAATTCTGTGCCTGGGTTGCCCTGGGGAATCCTTGGTCATGACTCACTGACTTGGCTCTTCCCCAGGGGATCTGGGTAGCAGTGTTACTGTAATTTCAGACAATGAAGGGCAAGTGTTCAAAATGTATTGAAAACACATGAGAG